ACATGAGCAACATCTCCAGAACTACTCTGAGAGTCACTTCATGAGCATCTGACCATTTCATTTGAGTAAAACAATCCTTATATCATATACACACAGAAATGTTAAGGTATTTACAGCAACCCGTCAAAATATAAGTTTGGTTTAACTTGAAGGCACTGCAGCAGAAATATATTACTATTGTTCAGTAAAATGTACGTAATGGGCTGCTACTACTACTAAAATTATTAAAACTTTATTTTTAAGGAATAATCATACAATATTTCTTCAATGTTTTAATTGTAATATTAAATTACCTTTATTTTCCAAAAAATAAAATGTGTTTAATTTTCATTACTTAAAAGATAGATTAAATGAATGTTTCATGCCTTAAAAAAATTTAAATACACAACACAGAATCTCTGAGCAAAAAATCATAAGGCTATTGTAAGAATAAATGTAAAATGTTTGTAAAAACTTGTTTTTATACTTTCAAATAATTAGACATGCTAAAACAGAATTTGGTCAAAATAAAACATGTAATTTTTGTTAAACTTTTAATAAATTGATGTTAAATTGTTTAGGTTTCATGATTTTAATTAATTAGACAAGCTTTTTGATTAATACAATTTAATTTAACCATTAAAAAGGAGTCCAGAAAAATAAACCCCCAAAGCCGTAAACCTAGGGGAAACACTGAAATTTAAATAATGTGCTCTAAACATACTTAGTTAAAGGGGTCATATGATGCAATTTCAAGTTTTCCTTTCTCTTTGGAGGGTTATAAGCTCTTGGTGCATAAAGAAGATCTGTAAAGTTCTAATGCTATTAAATTAAAGATGATGTACCATAGAGCAAAAAAATTAACAGTGAAAGTAACAAAAACTTGTAAAATACATTTTAATGGGCAGTGAAACCAAAAATTATTCAGAGACCAGATGTAATTTTTGATATTTTTTTTTACTGGTGGGTGCAGGACACGATAGTTCATTTATGTAAGTGAGGATAGCAAAATAAAGTAAACTGTGACAAATCATACCCAAAAATTCATCATACAGTGGACTACCAGTAAAATTTATAAAAATTTGGGTCCAAAAATTATTCGGACCGAGTCTGGGAAAAAAAGTTCAGGTTTGCATGAAGCTGGGTGACAGCATGCCCAGGAGACTACAGGCTGTCATTAAGGCTAAGGGCTGCCCGACAAAGTATTCATAGTTGTGTAAATAATACTGTCATACTAACAGTTGTCTGAATTATTTTTGGTTGATTGTAATCTATTGCATACCTTTCTATCAAAATGATCTAACATTATCAAGATGAATTTGTTCTGACACAGTTTAACTCTGAGTTATTGTCATATTTTATTACCATTTTCTAAACTATAGCGAATAAACTGTGATAATGTGAGAAATGTTGAAGTTGACAGAATACAGTTTGGTTTGACTGTATCTATTTGATAAATTAAGTTAACCAACTAACATTATACATAC